GTCAGCTGTGTGCAAGACAAACGCCCCATGTGGTGTATATCACTCTGGCCCCTCAACATCTTTTCTAAAAATCTGTTATCTAGGTAATGTGGGAATATACATATGGAGGCAGTTTTATGAGAGTAATGTACAGGCATATATACATATATTTCTCTATCTTGAACAAATGGGATTCTTAACAGGAAAACTATACTGACTTTGCTATTTTCACCTAACAATGTGGACCTTTGTATCAGTATACAGAATCACAATTCTATTGCATTTTTAAAATTCCAATTTTCACCATTAAAAGTAACACTCTTCATGTTGAGTGAAATGCCTCAGAGGGAGAACCAATAGAATGATCGTCCTCATTTGTGGGGAATACTACCTGAACACCATAGAAACAAAGGCCAGGAGGACTGGTTCTTAATAGGATGCTTGCCACAATGTGAGGCAGGTGGTTAGGACAGAGAAGCGACCACTATGATAATGATTGTGGAAAGTGATCACTCTGGAAAAGAAATGGGTGCAAAAAGGAGGTAAAGTGATACTTATGTTATCACTTTGTAGTATCACTTTGTAAAGGGCTTACCATTGAGGAAGGCTAGGGGACAAAAGGGAAACTGGGGACATTGGTGGAGGGTAGAAGACACTGGTGACAGGATGGGTGCTTGAACACTGTAAGACTGAAACCTAATGACGAAAAACTTTGTATCTCACGTTGATGCCAACAAAAATGTTTAAATATAACGCTCTTGGTTTGGAAATATAACACAGTGGATAAGACCTTAGCTGACCCAGGTCTATCCCTGGAGCCACACATGGCTCCTATTACCTATAAGGAGTGATCCCTGAACATGGACCCCCCAGAATAAGCAGCAATGACCTGAGCATAGCCATGTGTGGCCTCCAAACAAGAACCAAAAGTTAATTCACTGTACAGCTAGCTGGATATGGAAATCTGTAACAAATTTGTGGAGGAAGGACTGCTAGGACCTAAGTCTTTGATAAATATATGCATTCTTCCCTACAGTTCAATTTTTATCAATTGATAAAATAAAGAAAATTCTTTTCATCAAGTGCAAGCTCTTGATATCAATGCTTTCATCTAAAGCAAAGATCAGAGATAGAGAAGAGGGGATTTCTATTTCAATTCCTTTGCTCAAAATTTATATTAATTTATCCAGTGGAATTTTTGATTTTTCAAAATAAGTGGGGCTGGAGCGATAGCACAGTGGGTAGGGTGTTTGCCTTGCACATGCAGCTGGCCAGGTCAACCCGAGTTCAATTCCTCAGCCCCTCCCAGAGAGCCCAGCAAGCTACCGAGAGTATCTCGCCCGCACGGCAAAGCCTGGCAAGCAACCCGTGACGTATTCAATATGCCAAACACAGTAACAACAAGTCTCACAATGGAGACATTACTGGGCCTGCTCAAGCAAATTGATAAATAATGGGAGGACAGTGCTACAGTGCTACAAAATAAGTGATCCTGGCTTGCTCTTCAACACTGTGTTCTATCTTGAACACATACTTTGCTTGTTTTTATCTCTCGTTTGATTTCTTCACTCTAGAAAAGCTTGTATTCTTGCTTGAAAACGTACTTTCTCCCTTCCTCTTCTCTCACATCTTTATAAGGAACCAGAGAGATAGTACAGTGGGCAAGGCATGTGGCCAAGTGTCAAGAGATAGTACAGTGGTCTTGCATGTGGCCAAGTCAGGTTCACCCCTAGTACCCCATATGATTCCCCAAGCGTACCAGGAATGATTCCTGACTGCAGAGCCAGGAGTAACCCCTGAGCACTGCTGGCTATACCCCCAAAACAACAACAAAGAAACCCAACCAACCAAAAAACTATCTTGCTTCACTAAAAAAAGTGATTAAGAATTTTGGGGGTGGTCTGAGTCATAGCCAACAGCATTCAGGGCTTGCTTCTAGCAGCGCTCAGAGGTCCCTATGCGGTACCAGTGACTGAATCTGGGTTTACGATGTGCAAGGCAAGTGCCTTAACATTTGTACTCTCTCTAAATGATTTTGGTCAAAGTGTACCTACTTTTATAAAAATATGCTAGCAGTTTTCTGAATTTCTACAAATATCCAACAAAAAGATTATGATATGATGTATTTTAATTTTATTTAGCAATTTCAAGCTTACAGGGATGTGGGCAAAGTTTAAAAGTTTTATAAAGTTAGAGATACAAAGAAGTAGTTGTATATATTACATCAAAACAGAATAGGGAAAAAAACTTATGTTCTCACACTGAGAAAGGTTTCTATTAAAAATGATGTGTAATCATTTATATTAATTCATAAAACTTATTCCTACCATTAGCAAACAAAGTGTCACAGAACACTAATAATTTCCAAGACCCACTGGGCTGGAGCGATAGCACAGTGGTAGGGCATTTGCCTTGCACGCACGCAGCCAACATAGCCGACCCGAGTTAGATTCCTCTGCCCCTCTCGGAGAGCCCGGCAAGCTACGGAGAGTATCTCGCCCACATGGCAGAGCCTGGCAAGCTACCCGTGATGTATTCGATATGCCAAACACAGTAACAACAAAGTCTCCAATGGAGAAGTTACTGGGCCCGCTCGAGCAAATCGATGAACAACAGGAGGACACTGACACTGACAGTAGAACTATTTTAATTCTAATGTTTATTTAGGCAAGATGATTTGAATGATTTTCAAAACCATTTGTAAAAGTTCAGGCATACAAAGTTCCAACACTGCACTCACCACCACCATGTCAACATTGCTCCTTGAGATCAATTTCTCAAGGTCCCCAACCATTTCCTCATGCCAACCCCTTGGCCAACTCAGTTCTGTAAGCCAGACTCTTAGGGTCTGTTCCACTGAAAAACAAGGTTTAAGTAAATTGGCATACTAAAAACTACAATGCAATAATGAAAAAGATTGAGGTTGGTGGAATTACATATAGTGACACAGAATAAACTCCAAGACATATGAATATAATGGAAAAAATATACATAATTCCATTTTTCCCCAAATGACAAAACTACATTTTAAATTACTGTTGGTGAGAAAGCATTAGAGATTCCATCTTTTTTTTCTCCACATATATACTTTTTTTTGGCTGTTGGGCCACACTCAGAGGTGTTCCAGGGATTATATGGAGCACCAGGGATCAAATTAGGGTCAGATATGTGCAAGAAAAACACGCCACCCACTGTACTATTACTCCAGTCCATCTTCTCCAATTTTTAATATAAAGAAATGTTTATATTAAAGGGTTGGAGAGATAATGCAGCGGGTAGGGAGGGTACTAGTCTTGTCCAAAGCCAACTGAAATTCAATCCCTGGCACCCCATATGGTCCCCAGAGTGGCCCCAGGAATGATCCCAAGAGCAGAGCAAGAAGTAAGCCATGAGCAATTCTGGTTGTGGCCCCCAAACCAAAATGAAAATCAAACAAATAAAAAGAAATGTTTGCCACAGCGGATCTCCACAGGTTTGAACGAGTCTCATCCATGAGGGAATCTGCTGAAAAACCCAGGTACACGGGACTTGTGACTGAAATCTCCAGGCTGGCAAGGAGTCGGGAGTGGGTGACCTTCTCGCGTCTCCCTGTGCTTCCAGTAGTCACGCCCACAAACTGTCTCTGGTGCCATCTAAGCTCATTAATGGCCATGATCCAGAGACTCAAAAATAAATCTCTTAGAAGACAGCAACATAGAGTGACACTAGCAGAGATGCCTCCATTTTCCAAATTCACCATCCAGTTAAAAGAAAATGGGTAGAAGTTTGACTTGTATGCAATCAACCAGGTTCCATCCCTGGTACCCCCTAGGATCTCCTGACGAGAGCCAAGAGTGATCCCTGAGTGCAGAGCCAGGAATAAACCCTGAGGACTGCTAGTTGTAGCACTCCCCCAAGTCCCCCCCACCCAAAAAATAAGAAATAGAGAGAAGAAATGATCTTCTTATTGACTTGCTGTCATAGTATTATATGTCTAACCAAGTACACCTAAAAACATTACCATGCTAACAAAGCAGAAAAAGGGTCAGGTTAAAATCTCATTACATTCCTATTGATATTAATTTAACAAATGCTTCTGCCATATTTATGTATTATTAATATGTTTATATTTATTTTTATAAATATAAAATCTTGCCAACTTTTTATTTTAAATAGCTAATTAGAATTCATGTCTAGTTTATAAAACTGTTGCTACTGAATGGAGAGTTGACAGATCAATCAATGCTATGAAAGCGATGGAATCCTGGACACTTCTTAAAACTAAAATTGTATAACTACACTGATAAGTAAAAAATACAGGTCTTAGCAAACAAAAAGAGCACAGATTAGTTTTTCATGGTACATCAGCAGACTAATTTATTTTAAGGACAAAGACCTTCTTTCTGCAAAACTGGGAAGGCTATACTTTGTATCATTGAGGTTTGGGGGAGCATTAGCTTTGAGGAGGTAGATTAAATATTCAGCTAAAATTCTTAGATGAGTGACTTGCAAGATGGGATTTCATCCATTTTTTCCCCCAACTTAAAGTACTCAATTTAATTACAGCAAATATGAGTACATTTTGTCAGGCAAGTTTTTAATTCAAAGAATTTAGAATACTTATAAAATAACCCTTACTTTTTTTACTAAAAACTTATATACAATTGCATTCTATAGATAATCTACATAAAATCTGATTCTTTCCTAATCACCGACTCCTACAAGTACGCCAAATGTTAGTCACATTTTTTTTTTAAAGCTGCTTTAATTTCTCCTAAGGTATGTTTAAGATCTTGTTATTCTTGTTAAATCTGTGGAGAAATTTTTAAAAATTCTAGTAAGACGTGTGGGAGACTCTTCCAGAGAGTAACTAGAGAACATGAAATTTTGTCTGGATCTTTGTTACATACAAGTAGGATGAAAATTTATTATACACACACACACACACACACATTCTAATGAAAAAGATTAAGAATTTGTAGTTTAAACACGAGGATAAATACAAGTGAGCTCAAAATTAAATCCAGTGACAAGTGTCATACCTAGCAGCCCAGTGTGTACACCATCTTCATTCTTCGAATTCTCAGCATGTAACTCTGTAAATATAAGAAGGGCCTCAGGTTAAAAAGATGACTCAATACTCTGAACAGTAGCTAAAGACCAGGAAGACACTACAGAGCCATAGTATGTGTCCTGGAATCAGAAACAAGTTCAAATTCCTCCATTTAGTAAGCAAATGAGATACCTGACTCCACCACCATATTCATTTATATGTTCTTGTAGTTGTTGTGAAGACATTTTATTTATGAAATGAAAATTCAGTTCCTTTGTTCATTATCCAAAATAAGCACAGTTCCATGTCTTCTGCAAAGGATTTTTACTTAACTGATTTTGTGACTATATGAAAAAAAGACAATCTCCTAGAGGAGAGAAAAAATTACCTTCAGGGGAAAAATCTTAAGAATTTTAGTGAAAATGAGGAGCTGGCAGCAGAGGAACAAAACACTGGCATCCAAAAAGTTTACAGACAATTTATATCCCGTATAATTTACAACAAGATAAACTGGAACATTAACTTGCCAATAATCTGTTTTCTCTACAAAATTCAAACCACAATTAAGTTGTTAAATGCCATCTCAAACCCATGGGGGTGGGTTGGAAGCAATGAAAAAAATTAAAATTGGAGGTAAACTGGTTTAATTCTATTCAGTGAAATAAAATTAATATTTTAATGACAAGGAGTTGAATGCACTTCAGAAGCCAAAATTAGGCTTTGTTTTCATTTTTGTTTTTCAGTAGTAACGTGGCCAAAACTGAAAACTGAAATTTAAACTGAAATCTGAACATTAAACAGTGATAAAATTCACCTGTAAAAAGCTTTCAAATCGCATACCTTTGAATTAAAATTTGAATGCTATTGCAACTTCAGACACAAAATTAAACTATTAAAAAGAAGACATCATAGCTTTCGTAATAACGGTACCCTTATACAGGGTTGCTGATACAAAACTTAGAGGAACCAATTATTTTTCCAAAAAAGCATAAATTTAGGCAAAGATAGAATTCTGAATATATAGAACTACTAGTGGATAATAAAACTTTAATCATACGTGGTTTGAAGCCTTGGTAAAAACATATGTGGTCAGTTTTATTGTTGCTGTTGGGTTATTTTGGTTTGCGGTTTTCTTTTGTTTTTGTTTTGTGTTTTTTTTTTTTTTGGTTCTTGAGCGACACCCCGCAATGCTAGGGGTTACTCCGGGCCCTGCACTCCGAAATCACTCCTGGCAGTGCTCAAGGGACCGTACAGGGTGCCTGGGATCAATCCCCCTAATTCACTTTACCATCTCTCCCGCCCAATAGAGCCAGTTTGAATTAGACACTTTCCCTCGCCTTTCAACGGCGGATTGTTCAACATCTTGCTGACTTTTGCCTGCATGTCACAAACTTCAGGCTTTTATTTCATGAGTTTCGAGACGCTCTCTTAGAGTGGACTCCTAATTCTTTCTTTCTTTCTTAAGAACCGTTCACTAGTGATCACTCTGCCAGGCGTGCCAATACTAAACCACTCCACACGCCCGGAACAAATGATGTATGTCAGTTACACCTCCACCGAAAACTCAGGTCTCTTCCACCTTTAAGACAAAGGAGCACGCAGGAGCAGAGAAAAGGGTGCAGAGGAGGGCTTCGGGTCCAAGTGTCCACTAGCTGGCTAGCCTGTGGTGGACGGGGACAAAGGCGAGGGGAACGTCCAGGCTCGGGCCCGAGCTTCAACCAGTACCTTTCACGATCAGATAGGTGACGGCGAGGAGGAAGGCGAGGAGGGCGGCGAAGAGCAGCGCACAGAGGATGGAGAGGAGCCGGACGGGCCACCGCCGCGCCCGCGCTCGGCCCCCCGCCGCCAGCGCGAAGGTGCCATTGCGCTTCTCGGGCAGAAACGGCGACCCGTCGCCCGCGGGCGGTGGCGGCCACAGCCTCCGAGGCTCCGAGGCGGCCCCGGCCGAGAACTCCGCGCGCAGGTCGCGCGCCACCGGCTCGCACCCCGCGTCCGCTTCGATCTCGCCCTCGCCCCAACCGTCGCCCAGCGAGTAGGCGGAGAACGCCGGCCGCGGGAGCGGCGCCGGGGTGCCGAGGCGGCGGCGACGCAGGGAGGGCGAGCGCCTCCCGCGCTCCACGAACGACATGGCGGGAAAGACGCCCAAGCTCGCGGGGGCTCCGCGCAGAGACGCCCACCGGCCCCGCCTCCCGCACGCCGTAGCCAATCAGAGCCCGAGGCCGGCCCCACGGCCTTCCCCACTCCGCCCTGGCGCGGAGGGGAACCCGAGGCTGCGCGGTGGGGCGCGGCAGGGGCGGAGACTCCCGCCGGCCCCGCCTCTCGCACGCCTCAGCCAATCAGAGCCCGAGGCCGGCCCCAAGGCCTTCATTACCTCTCCCCCTCCTCCCACCCCGGCGCGGCAGGGAGCCCGCGGCTGCGCAGTGGGGGCGCGGCGGGGGCGGAGCGCCCAGCTTTTGAATCGGGGGACTAGAGCGCGGTCCGCTGGAGGCGGTCAGTGATGCGGCTAGCGCCAGGAGGCGCGTCCTCCGCGCCAGAGACCCCCCCCTCCAGTCGAGCGCCGTGCCACCTGGACATCCGAACGAGTGGCAACCCCGAAGCCGAGTCTGTCTGAAGTCCGACCCCAGCGCCCGCCCGTGCCCCTCTGATTCTTAATCCTAAACGTCTGTGCCATCCGCCTTCTTCCCTCGTGAACGGCGATGCGGGCCCCGCCCTCGCCTCAACTGTCACTCTCTTTCCCCCTTTAGCGTTGTTCTGCCCTCCTCTACTCCAACTTTCCTCCACGCGGCTCGACACACCTCCTGGGCCCGCTGCGCCGCGGCGCGCGTCCTGCTCCAGCTCTAGTCCATTGCCAAGCCGCTCCACACCCTCCCGTCACCCGCCGCCTCCCTCCGTCTCGGGAACTGTGCGCGCGCCTCCCGCCCCGGCCTACGCCAACGCTGGTCGCGGCTTGCCCCATCCCCACCATCCCCCGCCACGGGAGGCCTCAGGTGGGGGGGGGCGCGTGCGTCATTTGGGTATGCGGGGGTGAGGCGAGCGAGCCCCGGCTGGCCCACCCGCCTTCGCGGGGAGGCGGTCTGAGCTCGAGAAGCGGGGACACGAGAGCCTTCCCCTCCGGGAGGGAAGTTGCTGGAGTTTTCCGGGCAGACAACTCGGCGCAGAAACTTCCTCGGTCCCCCTCCCACCCGCTACATGCAGGCGGCGCCGAGTGAGGCTGAGGCTGCGGGCGAATCGCTGCAGAGCTGCGTGTCTGCAGCTCCCTCTGATTGGACGGCGGGGAAGCCCGTCAGCTTATTGGCGCCGCTGATCCCGCCCCGCGGCGTAGGCCAGCCTTTCACCTTTGGCCCCAGCGGGCGCCAGCCACTCAGATCGCTCCTTGTTGGTATGTGCAGCGGCAGTGGCCGCCGGCGGAGCAGTCCGAGCCCGACGATGAGGCCGGGGACGGGAGCCGAGCGCGGAGGCCTCATGGTGAGTGAAATGGAGAGCCATCCTCCCTCGCAGGGTACCGGGGACGGGGAGCGGAGATTGTCCGGCTCCAGCCTTTCCTCCAGCTCTTGGGTCTCTGCTGACGGCTTCCTGCGGAGACGGCCCTCGGTAAGGGATCGGCGGGGCAGGGGGAAAAGCGGCACAATGAAAAACGGAGGCAGAGACAGGAAGCGTTCTCCGAAAGGAGGAGAAGATGAGAGTGGACGCAGGAAGAGCTCGAGGTGGTGGGATGGGGCCGAGGGCGAGACGGGGAGGGCGGGCAGGCCCCCGAGGCAGCCTGGAGGGGGGACCCTGGAAGTTGCCGGCGGGGCTAGGCCTGGACGCCGAGGCGGCGGGGGAGCCTCCGGCCGGGGAAGCAGGCCCGGTTTCGCGAGCGGCCGGGCCGGCGGAGACTCGGTGCTCCACGCTGGCTCCCGGCGGCGCCCCGGCGTCAGCGTGCCCCGCGGCTGGGGCGTCCGCAGAGAGCACCGCCCGCAGGAAAGGCAGCGGGTCTAACCCGGAACAATGGGCAGCGCACAGGCAAAGAACTAGTTGTCTTTTCCCCAGCGCGTGGAAATGGACAAGCTCCTCGTTTTGCAAAGGGCTCTGCGGATGACAGATCTCTTTCTTTGGAAGGGAGGGGATTTTTTTTTCTTTTTTGCCGGGGGTGGGGAGCAGAAGCAAGTGTTCCTGGTGCTAAAAGATCTTGTTTGGAAATCGGCATTTTTTCTTTTTTTTAATTTAAAGAGGGAAGTGTCCCAGGGTCCCCCCTACCTCTTAAGACCAGACCTCGCATGAGTTAAAGTGGGTAAACTCGGCACTTGGAAGTCTTAAAAAAATCAGGTTGTAGGTGAATATAAGCATGAATAACACGAAAGGCCAATAGCTGACGTTCACAAGTCCAAGTGGAACAGAACAAAGTCGTGGTTTTTACCGTTTCTATCAACTTGCAAATCATTTCCTCTGAATTCAACACTCAGCAGCGAATCAAAAGCAGCATGCTTTAAAACAAAAACCTGTCACTTAGCTGTCTGGTAATGATACTGAATTTTCTCCCTTTAGTGTTGGGTATTTGGTCAGTTTCAAGCTTAGTATGAATCCTGCAATACTAGCTAATCCAACTATTCAGTTACGTGTCAGCCTAGTTAATATAGACCAACTTAGGTAACTGATTCGTGTAAATAAGAATTTTGGAAGCATTTATGGTGAGTGGCTAACTTTTAAATTGTCGTTGTTTTTCAGATGGGGCACCCTGGCATGCATTATGCCCCAATGGGAATGCACCCCATGGGTCAGAGAGCCAATATGCCTCCTGTACCTCACGGAATGATGCCACAGATGATGCCCCCTATGGGAGGGCCACCAATGGGACAAGTAAGAATCTTCTGTTTTCTCTTGTATTCGGTTATGTTTGCCTGTAGTATTGCTGTGAACTATTTCAGATTCTGGGTCATTATTTGCAAACATTTAAGGATTAGTTTATACCCCAAATAATATTTCAAGTTACTCAAATGTTGAGTAATGGATGATGCTAACCGAATTTTGAATATGTAAGTTGACTTTCAATTGATTTTCAACAATGAAGAATTTACAAAACTTTAATGGTTTAAACAATAATACATTTGGGCTTTTAGTTTTATAACTCACGAGTATGTCAACAAAATAAATGTTCTGAATGAGAATAAATTAGTCTGATAGGTCTGTAATTTTTATGGGTGGATTTGTAAAAGCATAGGACCTGAAAATAACAACACTCTGGTAGCCTTTGGCTTACAGTGAATTATTCCTGATAGAACTTTCTCCTGTGTGTATGTGTGAGTGTGTGTACTGTTGAGGGCGCAGAGCGTCTACTTTAATTTGATTCTTCATAGGACTGTATAATGGGTAATTCATTTTCTACGTAGCCATTTTATTGTTTTTAATGCTTATTGCTTTCGTCCTCCTGCTCTTGAGCTGTCTTTTCTGTCTCCAGCATAAATTATAAACGGACTTTTTGTGGCAGAGATAAGGATCAAAAGTTTCTAAGCTGATCTGAACTCAGTGGATGAGTTCTTAGAGAAAGCTAAGAGGTTCAGTTATGATAAATAATTTTATGTCTGTTTCCCTTATTAGATTCTATAATGGACAGATTTATGTGGCTGGGTTCTTTCCATTTGAGTATCTCAATTTTAAAAGAATTAGGCTAACAATATTTTGGAAAGCACGTTACCATTTTCCTAATACTTCAGTAATCCTTATATCCTTGATAGTTAGTCATTGTTAAAAATTTAGTGGGGAAAGGAATTTGCCTTTTTTATCACTCCCCTTTATTTAATCTTAAGAGTAGGAAGACTTACTTCAAGTAGTTTTTCTTTTTATTTGATATATAGCTAGCCTTTAACTTCTTGTGAAAATCTTTGTTCAGATGTACTGTTCGCAGAGGCTTCTGCCTGTAGGATTTCTTTGAAAACTGCTTATTCTGTTGCTCTAGAATAATAATTTTTGAAGCTCCCAGATGATGGAGAAACAACTCTTGATTCCACTTCTGTTTCCATCTCTAAGCATAGGGAGCCCTTATTTCTTTGTAGAGCTGCTCTAAATATATGATGAGCTTTTAAAAATATTTATTCTTTAAAATGCTCTGGTTCTTATTTAAAAATAGTTTCTTTCCACAGAAAGATAAAATAAAACAATTTGCTACTGCCAGATGCTTCTCTCTTTTCTGGGGCCTTCTGTTTCCATTGGGCCAATCAAGGTAAGTTTTGCAAGGGATTGATCTGCTTGCCCTTGCTGTGATCGTGCTGTTGCACTACCAAAACCACGATACCAACTATTCTTTTCTAATAAATAGCACATTCTTTGGTTTTTGTTCCTTTTTTTTTTTAAACAGTGGGACTTGTTAGCATAAATTGGTCCCCGTTTACTTTGTAGTACCTTCTTCTTAGCAGTATCAGTGACCATCTTCCTGGAATGGCTACTTGCTACTTGGTTGCACATCCAGTCAGGTACTTTGAATTTTCCTCTGTGGTTTTCATCTCCTCTTTACCTGGGTCAGTAAATGCCATGTGCCTTTAAGTGTGCCTTGCTATTTTGATATCTGTCTCTCCCTGTAGGTTCTTTTTGTCTAAAGAGTTCAGCCCTGAGGTTTGTAAGAGAATTCCCATGGTTTTTTCCTTAAAATTAGATTATTTTCTTTTTTTTTAATTAATGTCTTAATAAAATGGGGTCCGAATCCTGTTTGAACTCATTTTAGCTTCAAGAATGGATGAGAAGCACATGGGTAATTTTAAATACCTGCGTGATCCGGAACACCTAATTCAAAGTCGTGTAAACATTTGCCTTAAAAATAATACTTGATAACTAACAAAGTGGATGCTTTTTTTTCCCCACTGTGTCATTTTCTGCCTGTGTATGGAATTGAAGTTTTAATGACCAGTAAGTGATCAGAGAGAAGCAAAGGGAAGTAGAGTAGCATAATTCACTCAGTGATCTAAAGTGGGTAGGATTCTGCCATTTAATTTTACAAAGATTCACAAATTCTTTAGACTTGGGACAGAGGCTGTGGATGGGACTTTTATATTTATTGCAAGTTTTGCATTGTTCACATTAAGATCTTATTCAGGGACCCATTAAAGACTGAAATTTGTGGGTATTTTTGAAGTGATTTGGGGTATGGCGGTAATTGACATGTTACTGATCA